GTGGGTGAAGCTTTTTTTTTTCTTCTAAATTTTAGTATTACTTTTTTTCCTCTTTTCGTTTTTCTTTTTTTTCTTCTCTTCCCGATGGGTTTACTTTTTACAAGGCGAAGCCTTGACGATCGAATTAATTTTGCACAGATGGTTCGTTCCGAAAAATTTCCCCCGACGCGTCTGTCGTATTCCTCGTGTCGGTATGATCGCCATAAACTACTCCAGTGGACTCGTGCTCGCGAAGAAGAAGCCAGAGCTAGAAGAAACGTGAAAAATATTCGCCGGGAGAGAGTTTGGCTGTGTTAATCCGAGCCCCGCGAGTCAACGGGTGGCCCGTTAGTCGGTATCGGACAACGCGATTACACGATCGGTCGTACAGACTGCGAGGGTGCAACGCGCGAGATTCTAAATACGAAAGGGCCCCGTCCCCTTGCAGACGGCGCCGTGGTTCGTGATCACATCAACATGTATAAAAAATGTTTTTTTTTTTTTTCTCAGTCTTATTGTAGGTTTCCTTCAGTGCAAAAAGCGTGTGTAGTGCCTCGAATTATCGAACTCGAGGATCGCGAATGTTCTCTTCAACTACGAAACGTGCGATCGCTGTCTAACATTGTACGATACGAGAATTATACTGTCCGCTCGAACTCGACGCGTCGACGATGGATATCGTTGGCATCCTCGAACACCCGGTGATCGATCGAACTGCCTGTCCGCGTTTCATCTCTGGTTCTACACCGTGACAGATTCAGACGGGCAAATGTTATCAGGAATGTGTGTATCAAGATTTCGTTCTTGAAGATCTGAAAGACTATACGAGCTTGAATGGCAGCTTTATTATTCACAGTCTAAGATTCGCGGCAAACTCGAGTCCCAGAAACGGCGGGAGCCTCTGTTTCTCCTCGTTTCCTATCTTTGCTTCATCGAGATCCACGATCCGCGTCGAGGTTCGACGTAGTTTCCGCTGCAAAAAGGGTTGATTTGTAAACGTATACAAATGTCGGGACGCTGTGTACAGTGTATATAATACAATACGAGTATCAAAATTTTGAAAAGACGTCTTCTAATCGCGATTCAAAACGATCCTGTCGGTGATATCCTCTTCTCTGTCTCTTTGTTCCCCGTTTACGGCGGGATGAACGTCGAAGGCGAAAGAAAAACAGAAGTTAGAAAGTACTCTTCATCGTCTCTCTTTCTCTCTCTCTCTCTCTCTCTCTCTCTCTCTCTCATACCCCCATATTCGACACGGATCTAGAATAACCCGTCTACGAAAGAGTCGTTTTACTACTGACAAGTAGAGAAAGCAGTGTCGTTCGCTCGTCGTCTCGTTCGCCGATCGAAGAACGATAAAATAGACCAAGTAGGAGCGTCGTTCCATCAGCGAGAAGGTGAACGAGCGTTCTTTCTCCGAAGAGAAGCTTTTTCTTTTCCCGAGCCGCGAGAGAAAACGCGTGCACCCGCGAGTACAATGGCGGAAAAAGTCGAGGATGATTCGCGGCGAGGAAAAACGCCACGGACGCCGGCGGGAAAAGTGTTTTCCTTGCGGCACACCGTGTAGATTTCTCCCAATGGACGCCTTTTTCTTGGTCGGTTTCCTTCTTTCCGACGCTTTCGATCGTTCGTGTTGATTTTATCGAGTGACTTTAGCGAGCGAAGTGTGTCAATGTGCTTTTCGCTTAGGGAGACTCGGTTTAAACGAGCGCTGCAGAAGTTGCTCGGCGCGGATGGAGAAATTTGATAAGTGGATCTTTTTGTTTCATTGAATGATTACGTCTGCCCCGAACGAAACGACTTCTTTCGCGTTGTGTAAATAGCGATGTTACGCAAACAGATCTCGCGTTTTGTTACAAAGGTACGGTGGATCGCGTTATGATTATCAAGATGGCCGCCATGTTGGAACGTAACCTATAATTATCCCTTTAGTCGCGTTCCTTCTCACTTTCCGCATCGGCAAATAATAATTCGACGAATTTTCGAGTATCTACGGACGCCGAGTATCTAAAATCTGAATTCCTCGCAACAATTCGAATAACATTTTTATATCTCTCGGCGCCATGTTGGACGCGTAAAGCCGCGTTTACACGTGCCGCGCGTGGTCCGGTCGCGGGCAAAGTGAAAAGGAACACGGAACGACGATCGGGATGGCGAACGAGCAACGTTAAAAGCTTGCTTTCGCGAGTGAAGCCTTGGGAAAGAAGAAAATCGAAGGTGACGGGGCAAAAAGCGTGGAATCGTTCGTCGAAGAGCGACGGTGAACGACTTTCGAACGTGGATCCTCTTTTCCTGACCGGTGTGCGCTGCTCCCTTTCTCTCTCTCGCACTCTCTCTTTCTCTCCAGCTTTCTCGATTCCTCGCCGACTTTTCCATCGCCATTCTCTCCCTCTCTTTCACTCTTCCTCTCCATCGACGTCCTCCTCATTCGTTCCCGTCACTCACTCGCCTCTCGCGTGTCGATCTAAAAATCGTGTAAGTAGAAAAAAGAAGGCGTTAAGAATGAATAAATCGTTAGAGACATTGACACAGCCAAATCTTTGTTTAAACATCTCCGTTACCCCGTGTTGTTTGTCCCGATACACTCCTCACCTCCTCCTCCTCATCCTTCTCCCGCGGGCTGATCCCCTTAAATCCTACTTGTACAGGGAAGCAACTCGTTCTCTCCATTCTACACCCACCCTCTCGTTCGACACCGAACCCACTTGAACACTTGGTGGATATTGCGTTTGTGCGTGCATCGGACGAGTCCCGTCGCGCGGCCTTCAATGTCGAGGATCGTGAGGTCGGCACCTGTTCCCCTCTTCGTTTCCATTTCTTTCGTTTCTCTGCATCCGTTCGCCTGTACACCTTTTTCTCCGTTCCTTTCCTCTTTTCCCCGTTCGTGCACCGTCTCGTTACGCGTGCACCGTGGAAAGACGAGGGGAAAATCGAACGGGGATCGGGGACCGGTGGGTCCGACCGCACGAGGATATGCAAAAGACGGCGGGACGCGCGATGGTTCCTCTAAGATTCGTCGCCAATGCTCGATTCCGGGGAATCTTCATTGGCTGATCGTCCGGTTGGTCGCACGGAATCGGAACGTAACTCGTTTGGCCGACTAAAAGACACCTCGGCGTTCCTCTCGATCGATCCTGATCGATCCTGATCGATCCACATCGGCCGTGACGATCTGTTCGACTGTCTCCGACTACCAGCGAACACTGGCTCTCCGTCACTTCTGTACATACGTGTGCTACTATTTTACGCGCGCGAGTGTGTGTGTGTGTGTGTGTGTGTGTACATGTGTACGTGTTCGAGGTGGTGTGTACGACCCGTTGCGACACAAAACGGGAGGAAATGATCTTATCGCGCGAAACGCTTGTTTTTCCTCCCCATCGCGATTGCCGGCGTTTCTAATCTCGCCTCAAGACGTGGCCATTTTGTCGCGGGCAACGCGACTGGCTCGTTTGGTAAAAATCTCTGAATAGAAACATACGTACGTGGCTTGATTGTTCGCGTGTGTTACCGTTTTGCGCGTGTTATATTATATATATATATAT